ACCCTACCCGAATCCATTGCTCTCATCCCATCCAGCCTCAGCCCCAGACTCCCCTCATCAGCTCCCTCTAGAGGCCACAGTGTGCATGGCAGACAAAGCTCCACAGCTGACAGACCACAGCTCCATTAGAGGGGCTACAGGTGGCAGGTCCACCCAGCAGAAGTGCATCATCAGGGGGCAGGGAACCCCTCAGGGGTCTGGAGAGGTGGACTGTGGACCAGGCGACAGACAGCCTCGGGCTTTGCCTCCCAAAGCTGTCCTGGTGGGGAGGTCCGTTGAAAGAAGAGAGAGGCAGAGGGAGACTTGCTCCCCCTGCTGTGAGAGAAAGGGCCTGCACACTCAGGCGATGAGCACTGTCTGGCCCTGGGACCCATATGTGAGTGTGAATTTGAATGGAGCCTCTCTAGGCAGTGGAGATGGACATGTCAGCCTCCAGGAGAGGCTGGTGTCCAGAGGTCTGTTCCCCAGAGAGGATGATAGGGCCAGCGGCCATGGTGGGCTCTGCTGCCCCTCTAAAACCATGGAAGAGCCTCCTGCGAGGAGCGCAGCAGCCTCCCCTGGGCCCTGGAACATCCCTGGGTCTGACAAACTGCCTGGCACCCTGAGGTCCTGGACCTCCACAGTCAGCAGGTAGAACGGATCTCGCTGGTTTGGACCGGATCACACTGTCTGGCTCCTCATTCAGTTCACCATCGGATGTGTGAGAAAAGCAGTAAATCTCCCTCACCCTCTCTTTCTGTCCTGTTTTCTTCTCCATCTACTTCTAAGATCATTTTTTATGTTTCATTTGTTCTTACGAGATAATTATTACACCGACCACCTTAAAAAACAGAGGAACTTTCACAGCTATTGTAACATACAGTGTAAAACTGATGGATACAACTCCATAAGTAGGCGTTTTGGACCCTCAGAAGTGACAGTTAATGTTCTGATCACAGATGGAGCAACGATGTCTGATTCTGAGTGGAGCTGTGCTTTCGACGCGTACCTTTAAACTGCTCGACCGTATCTGGCTCAGATTGGTTTGTGCAACGTAACCTCAGATGGAACAAGGTTCCTCGCAGGAGAGAGACATATGTACATCCAAGAGATTTACTTTTGCTCCATTTTCTCCGTGCAGCGGGAAGAGTGAGACAACAAATCTGTCAGAGGGAGGCAGTGACTCTGATGCTCCTGGAGGACATGGCACTGAAACAAGTGACAGCCCGGCGAACCCGACATATGTTAGATCTCACATGCCTACCAATATATCATATACTGTAAATGTAAAGATGTGAAAAATATGTACATTTGGTAATCTCAAAAACATACCTGTTGGTGTTTTTGAGGCAGTGTTGTAGTTAGATACATTGTAAAGAAAAGAAAAAAAAAACACCAGGACAGTATTTTAGGATCACTATTTCCATGGGCTCGTCTATTACTACATATCAAAGACTGTGCAAGTCACCAAACCCAGGCCGCTGAGGGAGGCAGCGGTCGTGCGCATGGATAAAAACCACCATGTTCTTATACAGGGACTCACATGTCTTTTAGAGGTAGAACATAGAGAGGATATCCTCTGTGGAGATGACCAGTTGGTACTCGTGTGAGACAAAAAGAAAATCCTTTTTTTCATCAAATTGAACTTTTGAGTGACTGAAAACAGTTGGCTTAGTAAGAACTCATAATACTGTTCTGAGTTATGTACACAACTTGATCACAAGTCAACCATGCAGTCATTGTGCAGAATTATAAGCCGTGTTGTATTCATTTAATGCTCAACGGAAGAATTTTGTCCAGTCTATATTTCCCATTTCTATGCCTTTTACTGTGCTAAGTGTACCACATCACTGTGGGAGAGGGGCATCGGTGTGGGGAAGAGGAGGCCGATGGTTATGAGGTGGGGCGGAGTGCCTTAACTCAAACTAATGCAGAGCTGTTGCCGTTGTGATTTGTTTTGGGAACTGAATGCAAAACAGATGTTAATGACCATGCACACATATCAGCAAACTGTTGAGTTGTGGAGCCTGTTTTCTTCGGACTTAACACCAAGCAGTATATATACAGTTATCTTGATGCACTCTTATCAATGTCAATGATTGCCCTTGTCCCCTAGTGCTTAAAAAGGGGGGATACAATGTAGCCTGTAGCATTACATCCTCTTCTAAGAGTCATCTGGGAGAGCGGAGCTGTGAACGTTTATCCAGACAGGGTCGTTATCACAGTGGGCCGTGGTTTCTGTCGCTTCAGATGAGTCTCATTTCAGCTTTATTTGTCTGTTCTGTAAAGAAAACGAGTTTGTATTGTCACAGGCAGAACTATTGCTCGCTGAATCTGTACCCAAAATGATCCGCGGAACACAAAGTCATTTAGACGTGTGTTTGATCACGGGGTTTTGATACCGGCAGAGTCGAGGCATGCTGCTATTAAACTGAAAGATGAAGTCACTATCCTCCTGCATTTCTCCATTTTGATATCATCCATCTCCCTCTACAAGATGTTTGCTCTCATTGAAAAAATAATCACTAGAGCTTTTAAGTACCAGAGGATCAGACGAGTTTAAAAAAAAGAATCACATTGCATTGTGACAATTTGACTGAATGCAGCACGATGGCACATCCAAGCTGTGCGTATGTAAACTGGTACAGGCCTACTGGTTAACTGCTTTTTGCAAGACAATGCACCTGCAGACTGGGACACGAGTATGACCTCGTGCATAAAGCTTCACCAAGACTGATTTTAACCCACAGTGGTTTCTGGGTATAAACACGTGGTCTGGATGTTTCTGAGCCGACTCGAGAAGTTGACTGTGGTTCATGTGATAAACCGGTGACCATGTTAGCGAGGAGCATGACAACATGCCGTTAGGCTGTAGAAATGTGTTTACTGTATGTACAAATGTCACAGTTCAGAAAAGGTGAAAGAATAATGTCATCCAGCCCTCTGTCTCCGTCCAGGCCGTCCCCCTGCCTGCTGTGAGTGATTTTGTATACAAAAACAAAAAACCTGCTTTATTGGAACCTGTGAAGGATGGCACGTTCATAAATCCCCATTGAGATCAAGTATAACTGTGTAGTGTTAATTGTGTATTATTCACCTTGTACAGCTGTATTCCTACAAATATGGTTTACTGTATCATTGATACTGTAGTTTCAAAGACGTGAACTATTTTTATGAAATGCGACAGTACTGATATATTACATTTTGCTAAAAAACAAAAAACTTGTTTACTGAAAGATATTCTGAAATACTGTCAAATAAACTCTTGACATGGTGTAAAATATTTTTTTTGTAGAGATTGTTTTACTTGTAGCCACAGTGGTGAGACCAGAGCTATCAATGGATTTATCAGCAACAATTAATTGTTAAGAGTTGTTTATAAAAGCAAAAACGGTAAATATTCTCAGGTTCCAGCTTCTTAAATGTGAGGTTTTTTTGCTGCTTTTCTGTGTTTTATATATCTCTTAATCGAATATTTTGGACAAGGTTTCTACAACTAAGGGACTTTTTAAGACTTTTTAGTGCAACATAGAATTAAAACTGATTGATGAATCAATTACTTAGGGTTAGGGAAAATCTTGCTCTTTATCATGACGTAAAACATGACTTTTTTGGTCCAGTGTAAAAAGGTAAGATGCTCTACATGCTGCAAATGATGAAAAAAATTAAACACTTTCTTGAGTGGAATATGGAAAAAACTATGGATGTATAGTCTCATAAATGTATCTGTTTAGTTTACCTTGAAAAACTTGTTAATATGCTGCTGTGGTAAATGTATGAGTGGTGTTGGATCTGCTATCCTGATGTGTGACTTTACTTTAAGAGGCATTCTGTAGATTATTTTTAAAAACTAGATGTTACCAATTGAGATTTTACACTGCAGTGTCAGATAAAAAGCTCCTATACGAGGGGTGACTGAAAAGTTTTGAGCCTAACCCAGACAATGGTTAGCTAGGCAAGCCAAATGATATTTTTAATGATCTAAAACCTCTCCTTATTATCATTAACCATGTTCATATTTTGAACTGTTTGTTTTATCTTTGCAGATTCTTGAAGTGAATAGTGGTCAGTGATTTGTTGAAAAAGGAGAAATTGGAGTGTCGGGCTGTGATCAGATATCTTCATCTCAAAGAAATGTCACCATCTGAAATCCACCAAGTTATGCTCAGTACTTTACATGACAGTGCCCCTGCATATGCCACAGTCAAACGCTGGGTACAAGAATTCAAACGTGGCAGGGAGTGTGTAGGGTCCCAACCTGAAGAGTGTGTTGCCATTATGGGGGATTACAGTATGTTGAAGAGTACAAGCACTGAAAAGTCTGTACACTGGTTTGTTTCATGAGGCTTTAAACTTTTCAGTCACCCCTCATATCTTCTATATCCTCCATGTCTCCTCCCAAAATGTTAGCATTTTGAAAGTTTGATTTAAAATATTTCAATACTTATGAAGGCCTTATTTTTAGATTAATTCAATGTCCCTAAGAACTTTTTTAGGATCCAGGGGAACCTAGTTTGACGCAGGGTGTCTGCAGCTCCTTAAAGGGCCTTAAAAGTCATTAAATAGTCTTAAATTTGAATTTGTGAGGTCTTAACTACTGCAAACATCACATCTTATTTCATGTATACACCTTTTTGTGAGAATGAGTGAAGCCTCTCTATGTAAAAATCCACATTTATGTAACAAATCTTTAAAAAAAACACTAATACTGCCATTTTACTCCATACTTGTACTTGTTTGCAAAATGTAAATCAATGCTTAAGTACATAAAATATATGTTCAAAAATCTGTCCTAAATTTGGTTAAAAGGTGTCTTGAAGGGTCAGCATTACATTTGACTGTCTGATACCTGTAGACACCCTGTGAGGGACATCTGAAGACATTACCATGGACACATTTTTCACATCGTTTTTGGATAATTTTTAGACCCAACAATTAACTTAAAAACAAACAACATATTAACTAAAAATGAAATTAGTATTGGTTGCACTCCTAAGACCACAAACAATGAAGGGTCCACATCAAGTTGAAAGTGGATTTTATTTTACAAATCAGCTTCATATTTTAAACAATCAATTACACACAGGCACACTTGTGGAACAATTTAAAACCCTTCTCGTCTTTTCACACAGTCTTCATCAGCCGACCCGCACACCTACACAGGTCTGTCTCTTACTGTGGCTGATGAGGCCTCTTCTCAGCTACAGGTTGATTTGAGCAATACTGGAGTTTCCTGAGGTCACCGAACAACATGAAAGACTCCGAATCACACGTTAAATATGTTAAAACATCTTGTAACTGTCAGTCACACATAGCCACGAGCACAGGTCTAATTAGCCAAACTAAGTGAAAACACCTGTGTGGGTGTAGCGTGGGATCTGTAACACCAGGTACCGTCTTTTTAATGAAGTCAGATCCATGCTTACGATGTGAATAATTAGTGCTCAGACTGCTGCTCAGTCCTCCTGGTGCAGCTTTCCAGTGAAAGTGACAGATGATTAGTGGAGGTATTGATTATGATCCTTCACAGACGGATTAATGGTCATATATGAATCTTACACCCACCCAATAAAAACTTTAAAAATGATACAAATATTTACACATTCTTGAACAAAGTGGGGATGTACTCTGTAACAAAACGACTTGTAAACATGTTTACAGCGTCTGGTGGCTGTCTCATGTGATAGGCAGAGATGGTGAGTTGACAGGCGGCTGCAGCTGAGTTGCAGGGACTCTCATTGTTGGACGTCATCCACTGTGGGAATCGAGGTTTCACTGTTGGGCTGCTCCTGAGAGAGATGAACAGAAAACTCTGTGTGGGTTACAGTAAGAAAATGAGATAAAACAGCCTTGAGCTACATTTCAATTAAACAGAGTAGTATCTATAAAAGGTTAAAGGTCATGTTAGTGGCTTACCTTCAGATGTCTGTAGACTCCCATCTGGAAACGGCAGCAAATAACATCAACTAAGAATCCTACTGCACCGTGGAGCATTCCTGCAGGACAGAAATAAATACCAACATACTGCAGCCGCTGATGCTCGTGAGGGTTGATATGAGGTGAAACTAACTCGTCTGTTTGCTTTCACTCATATCTGCTGAAACTTTCACTGCATCCACACAGTGTTTATCTACCACAGCGCACCGAAAACAACCTATCAGAGTGGAGGAGTCTCTAATCCAGCTGTCAATCATTGCCCATGAACTACGATCAGACTGTCAAACCAGGCAGCACTGATCTGATATGAATACAGATTCTGTTACTGCATTGCTTTTATCTTGTCTCAAACATTAACAGAAACAGGGACTTGGGTTGGGAACTGGAGGGTCACTGGTTCAAGTATATATAGCGACAGTTTCAGCAAAAATGACAAGATATTTTTACAAAAGTGACCAACTATAGCGTCAAAGTTGCATCTGGCCCGCTGTGTTTCTGTGTGTGTGTGTATCTACCTGTTGTAGAGAAGATGCCTCCGATGATGCCACACAGTCTGACAAGAAACTGCCAGAGAGGCATGTGCTGCTCGGTGACTTTGACCATCAGAGAGCTGATATCGTATTTCATAAAGATCCCTGAGACTCCGTGGCTGCCTGCAGCATGGTTAATCACTCGTTCCTGCAGAGCGTGAAGAGGAAGACAAATACATTCACCATAACAATACACAGCACACGACACAAATATACATACCTGTGCAAAATGTAAACCTACCCGCTCAGTGACTGAGTACTGATGTGTTTCCGCAGACACCTTGTACGTGTTCAGTTTGGTGGGCACGATAGTGATGAAGTACTGGAACATGTGGTTAGCTGGAGAGGACATCCAAAAATATGTTAGCTCAGTGAAAGGGGTGTAAATTAAGATCATAATAGATTGTTTGACATTGACAACGCAGACGTACATTCAGGAGAGATTTTCTCCGTGCCGTCCAGAGGGCTGATGATCCCAGGAACCACCTCTCCAAAGGACAGGTGGTCGATCCGGTGAGAGAAATTATAACCTGTGACACAAATCAAAAATTATTAGGGATTACAACTGCTGTATTTCATGTCACAAAAGATTTGCTTAAAAAGACGAGGAACTCACTGTCATGACTGACGAGGGCAGCCAGATGGGCGTGGCCTCTGGGATGTGGGATGGACCTGTGCAGGGATGAAGGGATGAAAAGTCAGCCTTTGCAGAATGTTTGACTCTTTAAGTTTTACAGCCGTGTAGATACATACTTGCCAACAGTGACGTGGAAGTTTCCTGCTACCTTGTTGACGTACAGGTGTCCATGTATCCTGCAGGCGGTAAGGGTGCTGGGATTGTTCTCACTGTGGAGCAACACAATGAGGAAGGAATTCATTTATCACAATGTATGCGAGGTTTTAGAACTACCTTGATCATATTTTCAACCATCTCTCAGCTCCAAAGAGAGAAGGACTTCTTATATTGATGACTGTGTACCTTTGAGACATAACAGGAGGAGCTTCTTTTATTGCAGCCTTGAAGATTACATCCTGTAGAGCGTGCTCCACTCTCAGACGCTCCTGGATGTGCTGAAGTGTCCTGACAGTGAGGGACAGAACAATTAAAGACACAAGACTCACTCTGGCAGACACAAAAACTAATTCAATGAGTGAGACATCATTTTACACTTGAGAAAAAAGGTTTCAACATGTTATTCAGCTCGTTTGCCTTCTATAAATCAGGTAAAATGTACTATCTGCTATGCTACCAGCAGTCTGCTAAAGTATAAATACTGTATGAACACCTGAGACTAATGTTTGCCACTAAATGACACTGAATTTCAAATGTAATGTAAATGACACAGCTAAATAATGCTGAATGCCTGATTAAAATGCCACTGTATTCCTTTAGGGAAGTGTTGATGTCAAAAGTTTTATTTATATTCCAAGTTAAAGGTGACTCTTTAAAGTGCTACATCGGCTACACTTCTCTAAAGCTGAACTTGGGAGAATATTCCTGAACCTAAACCCTGTATGTGACGCGTGTAAACAGACCCAGCGACCATGTATCACATGTTCTGGTCTTGCTTAAACTTGTCCCTTTCTGGTTATCCTTCTTTGTCACCATTTCCAAGACAAACGGCTGTAATATGTAATATTATGCCTTCTCCTCTAACTGCTAATTTTTTTTCCATCTCCTTGCTCATTTACAGAATCCATCCATCCACCCATTTTCATCTACTAATCCGGGGCCAGGTCACGGGGGCAGCAGGCCAAGCAAAGCACCCCAGACATCCCTCTCCCCAGCGACACTTTCCAGCTCCTCCTGGGGGACCTCAAGGCTTTCCCAGGCCAGACAAGATACGTAATCCCTCCAGTGTGTTTTGGGTATACCCCGGGGCCTCCCACTGGTGGGACCGGTATGGGGACATTTACAAGATGCTGTTGCCTTTTCCTACCTATTAGCTGGACGCTCAATTCTGTTTAAATGGAAGGATATAACCCCCCCCCTGTCACACAGACAATGGATCACAGATGTCATGCAGAACATCAAGCTGGAACAAATCAGATGCACCCTCAACAGCTCCATGAAAATATCTATAAAAATAAAACCTGGCACCCATTATTAAACTATGTGGATAGTCTACCTGGCCTGGAACTATGAATTTATATGGTCAAAGTGACAGTGACAGCATTCAAGGAGCCAGACTTTGGTGTCAGTTCTATTGGGGTCAATAGGGCGGACACTGAAAATCACACTTCAGCCCATCATATCTTTGTTGTTTCAACTTTGACTGAAAAAGCCTTCCACCAGATTTAAAAATGCAAATTACGTGATGCTTACCAACATTTTTATGGTAATATGCAAGTTTGTTTTCCTGATTATAGGTTTCCAAACAGATCACGGCTCTGTCCAGCAGAGGCTGAGATGCAGCTGTTCGGAGAGCCATGATCTGTTTGGAGACCTATAATTAGGAAAGCTTAGATTAAAAGACTTCAATGATTTTTATTCTGTTAGAAGGATTTTTTCAGTCAAAGTTAAATCAATAAATATATGATGGGTTATAATGTGATTTGCAGTGTCCACCCCATTGAATCCACTAGAATTGGCACCAAAGTCTGGCTCCTGTCACTATCACTGCGACCATTTCCTCTTACATAATTTCCTTGACCTCTACAGGTGGTCTATCCAATACATACTTAAATACACTATGATATGTTTTGTGATCTGTCTGTTTCTCTTTCTTTTCTTTCCATTTTCCTTTATATTTCTGCACATATTTGTACCTTGAGATGATAGCTTATGTTAAGGTCTTGTCTGACAAATGGAAAAATCCCTAGAAAATAAAGTATAAAAGAAAAAAAACTCCTGAATCTTACATTTGCCATAGTCTTTGCTCTGGAGAGAGTTCAAAGTTGACCTAAAATGTGACAAAACACAACTGTCAGATGAGCATACATGAACTCTTACACAAAGAACATGTTTCTTATTCCATATTCGCAATACAGTAAATAACCTGCACACTGAATGCACTCATACTCACTGGTTCATACTTTAAGCCATCAGAAGCAACCATGTTCTCTGCTAGATCCAGGACATCTGCACCTATATCTGTAATCACATTAAAAACATCCATCACACCTTTCTCCACCCAATATGAATAATGCTTTTCCTATAGCTGAAATACAAACTCATTTTATTGTACTTACATTGGCATCTCATGGCCACTGTGATGTCTACATTTATCCTCAGTTTACTGTAAGTGAAGAGCAGATGTAGTAAGGACACACACTCAGCCAGGACACAGGACTGAAGCACAATAATCGCAGCTTCTTTAAGTGTTACCTGCTGAAGTCTTTGTCCACCTCATACTCATACTTCATCCAGGTGTCTCTGTAAACGAAGAACTCCAGGAAGGCGAGGGCGGCCATGAGAGTGAAGGCTATCAGAGACACTGCAGAGAGTAGCAACACGATGAGTCACAGTTAAATTAAGTTTATGTACGAAATATTTAAAGGTTGCATGTGGCTGTGTAGTGTGTGTGGTTACCTGTCCCTCCGCTGGCTGAGGACTCCACATAGCTCTCGGGAACTTTGGGGAAAGCGTCCAACTCCTTCACCAGACCCAGAGCCTTCTTCCTGGTCAGCCTCCTCATCTTGGGAGCAGCGGGGCTGTAGCTTCAGGTGACTCCCTCATAAAGTGGATGTTTCCCAGGAGCTGGTTACCTTCACTTGTTTAATGGGACCACCGCTGAGAGATGAGTAATGTTCAGTTTGTCCTCAGCGGTTCTTCCTCTCTGTGCTGACGTTGAACATGACAGCTGTTAGCAACGGTAATGCTAGCTAGCTAACTAACTTAGCCGGCTAAAACATGGCTACGGGCGGCTGGTCTGAGTGAAAGAGAAACCGTTAATGTATGTCAGCTCAGTCCACGGTTAAAACGCTTCTTTTTACTGTGAAACATCAAGAACTTTCACGTACAGGGAGTAAGTTACCTGTGGTAGGTGTGTTGTGGAGTAGTTAGCTAGCTGTGGTGTCGTTGGTTTGACCCCATTGTCTGAATAATAACTGCCGACATTTGGACTCAGCGCCCTCTGGCGGTTGATGTTGCCAACCGTCGATGCGTTACAGGTTACAAATGTACATTTCGTGGTTTATAATGTGGTTTAAAACGTTTCAAATTATATAAATAAGACTTGAAACTAACGCTTGATTGTCGTGGTTTACTATTACATGTGAATATTTCAGTGCTACCTAATGTGAAACTAGCGAGTAAAAGCCTTTTATCTAGCCACAACTGGGTTACTAACTGGGCAAAGCAGGCACCTGCCCCATGATCCCCCAAAGCCCCAGGTTGATAATATATTACCAAAATTATTATCAAGAAATTGAGCTACTTGGTTATTGTTATTGCTTTTGTTTTTTTGTTTGTTTGTTTGCGAATTACCAGTGTTGGGAAGGTTCTTTGAAAGCTACCAATTATTTTACACTGGAACAAGTTGAAAAACTCCTCTCGGGAGAAATCTAGTATCTTGACAGTGTAGATACACTGAGAAGAAATCACATGCCAGAATAAAATGACACTTCACTGAACTTATTGCAAAACGTGCCCATTTGTCTACAGGTGATACATAAAACAAAAAAATAAAACACCCCACTATTCGCGGGAAAGTGCAGGAATGTCAGTTTTGGTTTTGTATGCAATGTCCATCAGTTAGACACCTGCTTTCCAGAAACCAGTATCTAGATGGGGATATTGCATTAAGCAGGATTACTCAGTTAGCCAGGTAACTCCTGAAATAGCATGCAGCAACTTTTCTGAGCATTAATAGCTCACAATATTTCTTACTAGTTGTCAGAGGGGTTTCAATTATAGTAGAGAAGCAATGGTAAAATACAAATAAAAAATCATACCTCACCCTTTATGGCCCAACATCGTATGTAGTTTCAGTACTTAACTACAGGAAAAATAAACTAGAAACTAGAAATACGGCCTCGTGGTTGTATGCCTCCACACACAACTCAAGTGTCTCTTACTGTTTACATCCATGTCTCATCAGCACAGTCCCAAGATTTGTGTCACCAATTCAGTATCTAACCAAATGTCTCCCCTTCTGTTCCTGAGATACGACATGCAGTCATGGCCAAAAATGTGTTTTATGTAGAATATTATGATATCATGGTGAAGTTGACCTTTGACTTTTTGTATATGAAATGTCATCACTTCGTCATTATAACCTGTTAAACATTTGTGTGAAGTTTTGTCAGAATTTGCGTAAGAACTCTTGAATTATGGCTAAAATGTAATTTGCGAGGTCACACTGACCTTTGACCACCAAATTCTGATCAGTTTATTTTTCAGCCCAAGTGAACGTTTGTGCCAAATTTAAAGAAATTCCCCAAAGGCATTCTTGAGATATTATGTTTACAAGAATGAGACAGACATGGTCACATTGACCTATGACCACCATGATCTCATCAGGTCATCGCTGAGTCCAAGTGAACGTTTGTGCCAAATTTTAAGAAATTCCCTCAAGGTGTTCTTGACATAGAATTGGACAGACAGATGAACAGACCATCAACCCGAAAATATAATGCCTCGGGCTATAGCTATCGCTGGCACCGAGGCATAAAAAGTAAATTCACTACCTGAATCCCTATGCGAATATGAATGTAGCTGAACTACCACTGCAAAATGTAGTTTAACTACTATTTTAATTAAACATAATCCACTACTCCACAACACTGCTAATAACCACTAAGGTTCGTATACTTGAACCAAGACACAATTGTTAAGTCTCACTGCTGAGGCCCCATCTCATGGAGAGGCCCTTATATCAAAATGTAGTTTTACTACCTTAAATATTTTAGATGATATTATGCATATAGTGAATATTTGTCAATAAATTAGTGTATGTGTATGTTTTAAATGGCCCCAAGGATAGAGAAAGAGATGATGGTCCCTGTGGTATAGATACTATGAAGCAGAGAAGAGTCTTATTCTTTAGCATATTCAAAAGGCCCAGATTGTATTGTGTCCACACTGAACCAGACCTCAACATGCTACATAAAACCTGAGCAGATATTCACTCTCTATGAAGGTGTCATGTTGATTTTCTGGTGACAACCTCAGACTGAATGCTCAGTTTTCCGACAGTTCTTTAGGACTTTTAAGTCTTTTCAGCTTCTTTGAAATTTTACTTTAGACGCCCATATTTTCAAAGAAAGTTACAATTATTCATGTTACCACAAACCAATTGCCCCACAGTGATGGGCTTTTGGGTACTAAAGTACCAGAGCAGTTTTCAGCATTACCCCATTGGTGTTTTGACCCTGACCTTCCTTATTACCTATCTACATATATTTTCAAAGGGCCTATGCCAGCCTAATTCGTTTTTTTAAGATATTTTTTGGGTGGGGGGTGGCATGCAGTGGGGGGCCACAGGCTGGATTTGAACCCGGGCCGCTGCGGCAACAGCCTTGTACATGGGGTGCCTGCTCTACCACTAAGCCACCGACGCCCCCAGCCTAATTCTTACTGGTCATTTAACCTGAGTGTTGCATGGTTGTGCAGTGGTTAGCACTGTCATCTGACAACAAGAGCATTCCAGGTTCGAACCCCAGGGTATGGGAGCCCTTCTGTGTGGAGTTTGCATGTTCTCCCTGTGTCAGAGTGGGTTTTCTCTGGGTTCTGCAGCTTCCTCCATCAGTCCAAAGACATCCAGGTTAGGTTAATTAGCAGCTTTAAATTGCCCATAGGTGTGAATGTGAGTGTGAATGGTTGTCTGTCTCTATGTGTCAGCCCTGGGCAGGATTAGTGCTTAGGAACAATGAATGAATGAATGAATAAATTTACAGACTAAAAAGACAAACTCAGTTCAGAAAATGTAAAAACAGAGCTGTAACTTGTACTTAAAAATAAATAAATAAAAGGAAACCATTTGCCATAGATATTGTCTGTATACATGAGACAAAAACAATTTTCAAGACACACTTAAAGGGAAAATTCACTGCATAAATGAATTTATGTAATGACATTGATTTTGGACAGTAGAGTCAATACAATTATTGTTATTGTTGTTATTATGAACACTACTACATGATACTCGGTGTCTCTACTTTTCAAGGAGATATATTTTTTTAATCAACAGATAAAAACTGAGATTTAAAAATATCACATAACAAATGAAGCACATTTTAAGATGGACTTTCCCTTTTACACCAAAACTGTTCTCTTTATTGGAGAGCAAGGAGTGTTTGGATCCTTGACTCACAAAGCGTAACAAAGAGCCTCTGCCCAGCTGACAAGATGTGTCCTTGAATAGTTTGCTGAATCACTGACAAACATATCCCTGGCTTCTCTGTGACGAAGGCAGCAAACGTAGAGAGAATTTTCTGGCAGAGATCTGTAAACCATTAGCATAAAGGCTATTGAAAACATTCATGGATGCATTAACAAACATGTTTCCTGGTTTCAGCAGGGGCCCATATAATAACAGTATGATGATAACAACAGTGGCAACTACTGCAAACCTTAACTACTATTATTCAGGTTGAGAATATCATTAATTTTTGTCTTTCAAGTAATCATGAGAGATTTCTTCCTTCAGTCAGGTGTACATCTCTTCAGACAACAACAAAATTATATATGCTTATAATCACATAATGAGTGAGAACAGTTCAGGTTGACATCAGTACTATAGATTTACATCTACAGTGAGACACTAAACAGCTTCAAGTATTATCTGCATTATTTTAGTGCTGTGCAGGCATAGGACACCTGGAGAGTAAGCATGCCAACAAAAATCCAGCGTCCTCTGACAGTTCAAAGCCACATTTAACATCAAGGTTGTGACGCTCTTCCAAACAGATTAATGACTGGAGAAGTCCGCAGATATTGCAGAGGCCAACACAAACCTAAATATACAACATGACCTCCTGCTAAAATAGTTTTAAGGTTGAAGCTCGAGAGGCTGTAATCCATCCACTGCTCGCTCTATTCTGCAGGTACAGAGTCTGGACCCTCGTCCTGTAGGACAGCTGTCTCTAGGACATCAGAGGTGGGTGTGTCAGGCGCCTCTTGGGACAGATCTTCAGAGCATCTGCTCACAGTGGGTGAGATCACATCCGGACTCGTGTCACAGGACTCTGTGCTCTGCTCTGACGTGGCTGCTATAATTGTTGTGGCAGCGCTGGGGGGAACTGGGTCAAACTCGTCATCATCGTCCTCCAGGATCGGTGATTCATGGATATCTGCCAGAGAAACAAATATATTTTAGACATGCTGATTTGGGGAATTGTCTGTGGTTATAAAAGGATGAATGGAAAGAAATGCCAACTCACTGCTGAAAGCTTCAGGGTACTGCTTGGAAATCTTCCCTTTTAGTGTCCTGGAGAGGCAGAGGAGGTCAATAATTAGAGGCTGTATGTGTGTGTTAGAGCTGGGTCAATTTTGGCAAATGAAAAAGTTTCCTACATCAGCTAACTGTGCAGACAACATCAGGGTGCTAAATCCAACTCTTAACATTAGTAATAAGCAGTATGACAATGTTATCAATACAGGCCGTGCCAGTTTACTACAGAGCCAAGCAGTGGTAACATAGAAGAGATCAAATTCAGCAGAGGTGAAAAGGGGACAAGTGGCACATGTTGTGTTTTTTACTAGAAAGTTTGTGTTTTTTTGGGGCAACAAGATGAGACATTTTGGAGGACAGTCTCTCAAGAAAACTAAAACTGCCCCTATATTACAACATTTTTAATTTAAAGCTTTAAAGCTGAAGAAAGAGGTGTCCTAACTGGCTGCAGGCAGTGCAGTGGTGTCTTTTTAAGCTGAACTCAGATGACCTGTTTATAGTTTATACCTTTAGTTCGCTTTGAAAGCGCCGCAATGGACGAGGAACAGCTAATTCATGAAGTTATTAATTAATCATCTACACTTTACCTTATTATTTCACTACAAAAACCTATATAGCCTACAGTGACAGCTGGCTGGAGGGAGATTGCCTGGGAGCTGAAAGGTTCTGGTAAATGACAATCGTTAATAACACACTAGGCTACTTGCTTTTGGATGTATTGTATGTCATTTCCAGTAAAAAAATAACAATATAAAACATGTGTTTTCTGTTTATAAAGTAACATTACAAATGCAGAAAGACAGCAAGTGGGCTGCTCACTTATCTTTTAAGTGGTTAGCATCCAGCTGATATTCAGGTGGTTTGATCACATGAGGTAACAGAAGTACATGGATACAGTGTGGGCAGAGAGCTCTGTTGCAACGCGATAGTCTGAGGCTGTCATTATGTTCCACTCAGGAGCAGCTTCTGAATTGAGTGCGACACCTGGTGAAATTTGGTTTAGTGATCCAGTCCAGTGTTTGGCTACTATCAACCCAGTTTGAACATTTTTATACCAGCCCAACCCTAGTGTGCGTGCGTGCGTGTGTTTGCACTGGGGAGAGCAGTGACTTACCTGATCCTCCTAAAGACACTGTCCAGATCTTTCTTCATCTCCACCAGGGTGCGAGTGTGGAGTAGGAAGCGCTCGTTCATCTGCTGCAGTCGCACGTTAGACAGCCCGTTGAAGTTGATCAACATCTCATTGGTTTTCTCAAAGCGGTCGAGCCTGTTTTTCACAATAATTCAGCGAAGCAACAGTTACCTTCAGATGCCACTTTACAAAGAGCAGGGCAGATGTCAGCATCATTGACCTATGCTGAACAGCACACCCATTATATATTTAATAGTTGCAGAAAAGCCATATGAAGCTTAACAGACTAGTCACACCATGACACTCACATGTGTCTCTGAGCTTGGATGATGGCATTCACATCCTCAGAGTTGACCATGCTCAGCATCCTGTTACAGAACACGCCAGATGCTGTGGGCTCCACCATGATGAAGGTCAAGGCGAAGAAGCTGCAGATATGAACTTTCTTTTAGAAATGCAAGTAGTATCATGTTATATTCTCAATCAGGGCTGGGCAATATATCAGTCTATTAATATCAGACTAGGTATCGCCTTGGATTTTTAACATTGTGTTGTATTTTCCTGGTTTTAAAGGCAGTATTACAGCAAAGTGATGAAATTTTCTGAGCTTACCAGTCTGTTCAAGCTGCTCTATTATTTGCCTTTACCCACTTGGTCATTATATCCACATTTGTCAGTATTTTATGAAAGCACCAATAGCCAATAAAATACTGCTGCAATATCAATATAGAGGTATTTGGTCAAAATATTGTGATAGTTTTAATGTTTCCATATCGCCCAGCCCTATCACAACACAAGCACTGAAACCAGGAGCCCATTAAGAAGCTAACACAGTCAGTTATTCAGTGCAGATACAGCTAACGTTATATTCACCACCGTAAATACACGTATCATCCTCTACAGGGGCAGTCAATGTTTCACTGTGATATTTTAATGAAGCATATTTAACGATGAATAACTTTAGTAACCGAGTCCTGTGTTAGCAGGCTGCTGGACGAATCTTTGATTAGCTTGTTAGCTGTTGAGCAATCTGACGAGCGAAGCAACAAAAATCACATTAGCTACCTCAGCTCCCTCGGTGGATGTTTGTGTCGACCTCTGGCTGCTTGAATAGCAGACTTAAAATGACATCTGCAGCCTAAAGGTGCTTCTGACAGCTGGCTGTAATACAAAAACAAAGCATTTCCGGGTTTTGTTTAAACTTCCTGTCATAGGACCCCTGTTTCCGGTGCTTTTTTTCTCCCTGCAATTTTCTTCCTTTTTTTTCTTTATTTAAAACTGCGCAACTTACAGGTGTACATTATTAACGCATCTAATCTGGTTATATCATCGTTTTTAGTGGAAGAATGATATAATAAAAAATAGAAAAGTGTTTGACGTTACAAACCTGTACATGAATGAATAGCAGTAAAAAAGAAAAAAAATATTAAAACAATTGTATACGATAAGACTGAAAAAAATTAAAAAGCATATGATTCTTAGTGCATGCTATGTTACCTATAATAAATAATGTTTTTGTCCCCTTACTACTCAAATATAAACAATTATTATAGGTAACTGAAAATACACTGACATTATCACACAACAAAAATAGCCTCTGGGGTATGTTAACCTTGATTTATGAAAGTGGATCATCCCATGGAGGCACTTAAGTTTTACAGCACTATCCAAAAAACATCTGTCTGCGGTAAATGTCAAGAGGCTGCTTCTATTATCAGCCCAGAAAAAGCATTAACATAATACAGCAATATTTCTTCAGAGACAGGGGGCATAAAAACAGGCAGATCAGTTTTCCAAAGTTATCAATGGGGTGCTTTGAATGTATTTGGACTGCACTGGACAGAGGATGGACAGACTATAATACTGCAATAGTTAACAAGTTGCTTGGTGTGTACAGGAATTGGTCCTTGTTAGTGTTGTCAAAAAATACTGATTTATTAATGCATATTGATTCTGAATATTTGAAACACTTTCTCTACCCACTCTCAGCAGTATTGATGTACCAGTACCAGCTGTGCTTTCCCACTCTCTCTTATTGTTAATGTTGAGGCTAATACAGTCATTTTGCTGCTCTCTGCTACTAACCAAGAAAAGACAAGCTGTAGTCTTCATGTTACAGCATGTTATATATATTTTTTTAATTTTATGCCCTCAATGTCAATTTTTCCGCGTGATATTGCAAATGTTAACAAATATCAATATTTTCAGGGTATTGTATCAAAGTTTCAAATTCCAGTATTCTGGCAAAACTAATCCTTGTGCATATTTTGTGTCTGAATCATTCTCATAATCGTATTTTTCTTATTTTTAAAAAATCATAAGGTTGCTGTGCATTTCCTGTAATCTCTTGGTTATAATAAAAGGAACTAGAATTACATTCATGTCTGTAAAAACATGGATGCTTCACACATATCTTCCCCCCAGCAGCACAGAAGATCTATACAGTCAGCACAGTTTAAAGGTGAACACCCAAGATTAGTGTCACCAGGTCAGTATCTGACCAAGTGTCTCTCCTCTTCTGTTCCAGAGTTATGACGTTGAGTAATGGCCAGAAAAGAGTTTTTTTGCAGAATATTATGATGTCAGTGAAGCTGATCTTTTGGATACAAAATGTCATCACTTTGTAATTTTTTATTAAACATTTGAGTGAAATTTTGTCATAATTAGCCTATAAAGTCTTGAGTTATGCCCAAAAACATGTTTTTGTGAAGTCAGTCACTTTGACCTGTGACCTTTGACCACCAAAATCTAATCCGTTCATCAGTGAGTAGAGGGGATGTTTGTGCCAAATTTGAAGAAATTCTCTCAAGGTGTTCCTGAGATATTGCATTCACAAGAAAGGGACGAGCGTATGGACAACCCAAAAACATAATACCCCAAGCCTTGGCTAGTGCAGGCATGGTGTCTCACCTGTAGTATGAGAGTGAAGTACTCTAGCACCTTGTTCCAGCAGGGACTTTTCAAATGTAAAATGTTTAAAAGTTGGTATCCGTCAAACCAAACTCATGTCTCCTACTTTTTAACTCAGAGTTACTAACCTTTTTTCAAACTGACATCACACACAAAGGTGCACTTTTTTCAGGGATGGTGTCAGATATATGAAATAAAAATTTAGTGCTACCCTCAAAGTTTAGGAACTTATAGTTCTTTGTCTCTAAATCTCAAGCAAAGTTATTATAGTCCACTTGCACTATAGTAAAGAAGTAGTGTGAGGTACATGTGAAGAAAAAAATTCTCCCTTTTTAAATTTACTTTTACCTTTCCCTTATATTACATTATCTTAAATCACACATTAATTCTTATAAGATACGTCACTGCCATGAAAGTAGCTTTTTTGTGGAGGAAATAAAGTAAATCATTATGAATCTAACTTTATGTTCAGCTGGATTTGGATCATCCTGCCAAGCTCATTTTTATCCTACCTACAAGGCTTGGGTGGTATTACAGTATTATGGTAGAGATCCCGAAGGTATTATTTTCAATTCTGTCAAAACACAGATGTGCCTCGGTTTGTTAACTTGACATTAAGATGCTGTATTAATGCTGTATATAGTGCACAGCACACACCACCAGAGGTCAGTCTCTGCTTGTGGAACAGGCAGCTGAGCTGTGAGAGATGGTGACTGTAAATAGTGGGAATAATGTTTAAAGAGTAGTAAAAAAAGAAAAATGCTTCTGCTCCTGTTTGCAAGTATTGCATTGTAAATACAACTTTATCTCAAGCTGAATTCTTCCAACTACAAAAGTAGTTAATTGGCCACATGATTTTATTCAACACATTATCTGTTTATCTCTGCCATTGATGTGACGGTATCCGCAGTGGCAACAAGTGTCAATGGGCACTCCAATGCAAAATGAGTGCTTATTTTCCATCTATCCTATGAGCCTGAAGCATTTAAACCCTGCAAGACTTGTCTAAGTAGGTAAATTGCATGTTAGAATTGTAGGCTAGACAGTGACATACATGTCTGAATGACTTCTACAAGATACCACCCAAGCCTACTACCCACCTTATACCAATAAATTCACAAACTCATTACTTCCAGAAAACTCACAAAATTACTTTTATTAAGGGACAAGTAAAAAAAGTACATGATGTATAAAAAATACAAAACCGCTTTGTCTAACTTGTAAGCTACATAAATGCATAGCAACAGTACATGCAAGTCTAGAGTTAGGTATCCTACAATTCTGTAACATTTCTTAAGCTACAGGCTAAAAGGGAAAAAAGTACAGTTTGGTTGCAATCTATCATTCGTTTCAGTCTACATGATACAGATCCAAAGTGATGGTACAGAATAAGTTAGGTTGCACGCAACTGAACTGATGAGTAAATAAATACTTAACAACATTTCACAAATATTGACAACCAGTAATTCAACGCAACATTAAACAAAGTCTGCGTGAGAATTACATTCGATTTCTGAAGTACAAAACCGTTCTATGTATAAGCTAAAGATGAAAAGAATTCATAGTATTACACGTCTAAGCGGGGGATGCAGTGATACAAATAAATATGAAATAAATAAATAATGAAACCCATAATAAGAGCCCTGCGGCTCGCCCAACCCCGTATGTACATAACACACCCTCTGCTCCCGACAACAACATCACATGTATGAAATTTCATATTAGTGTTTAGAATACCATAAACATACATACAAATGACCACGGACAAGCACAAGTGTCCATAGAAAACCTGCTTAGATTTGACATTGGGTGAATTTCAATGTGCTTTGGCTTTCGTTTGATAAATAAAGTAATATTAGGCTATATATCACAACACATTTGTGGTATATAAGAGGCAATGGCATAGAATTTCAACTTGTATAAAGTCTTTTACCTATTCTGACCCGGGAATGAGGGAAATCACTGATGCTGATATTGCTGAATGACTATAGATAGGTTGAGTGTTTCGCTGTTGCTGCTGTGTTGTGTGGTATTGTTATGCAAAGACATTTCTATTTTTCCTTTTTCTTTTTTTTCTTACATATAAAAATAAGTTAAAACTTCAGAGAAATGGATCCAAAAAAATAAAAGTAAGATTTACAGCTTATATAAGGCCATGCAATTTTTAGTAGACTCATGCATCAGATCATTAGGTCTCTTGGATGAGTGGGCTTGCCATTCATGCAAAATGCACTATGTGTTGCTGAGGCCACAATAAATATAGCTACTGTCCCTTTGTGTTCCTTAATACCGATCCAGAATTAACACTAGCGCTGTCTGTGACACATAATTAAGGCTGGTGTATTTGCTGTTGAAGCTGTGAATAGGCCATTTCAATGGGACCCACACACGTATTTGCGCACGGAGACAGTCTACAAACACAAACTCTTTGAGAGGAATGGATGTCAATGTGAATAGAGACAAACACAAGGGCGACTGTACAGGTCTGTGCTCTGTCAATGTAAAGTGTCATTCATTCCAAAACGAGATATCCACCATTTCAAAAAAAGAGATATCTACTCTGAACAAACAAAGTAATGCCTTTATATTAGTCATCTTAACATATATGCTTATAAAAGATCCACATTGAGAACGGCTTCAGCTGTGTGTTGAGTCATGAATTTCAAGTAGCACCCTTTTTTTTCCTGTGAGTCAGTGGATGTATTGCGTTTTGGAATAAAATCTTTTTGAATGTACCAGCAAACTAGAGCTCCAGCATTTCATCTAAAGCAGATCAAAAACACCACGGATAACGGTCCATCGTCAGGATGGTATGAATATTAAATACAAAATAAGAGACAAGGAAGTGGAAAATCAACAGTTCATAAGTTACCATTTTAACAAAATAAACAAAGCTCCAACCTCAGTGTGGAGGAGACCGAAGGGTTTTCAGCTGCGTTATGATTGAAGGCAATCTGAGGCAACTTTTTTCTGTAAGTGCTCGAAAAGAAAAAACAAAACAGCACCCCAAGATTTCTTCAGAGATGTGTGCAAGGCGGAATTCCGACTTTACCACCCGTCCTCCATCGCCGCCATGCTCCTGGCTGGAGGTGTTGTCATGGTGACACATAGCTGTGCAGGCTCTGCATTTTCCTTGCATCGTGGCATCTCCTTCACTTCCTCCTCCATCTGGGATTTGTGCCCGTTGACATCCACGCCGACTTGGCCCTCCTCTATCTCCACCTCTTCATCCTCGTCTTCCTCCTCCTCCTCTTCTTCTTCTTCCTCCTCTTGCTGCTGCTGCTGC